CTATTCTTTCTTCTTCAAGGAGAGTATAATCCAGCAGAGGCTGTTTACAGAACCCTGAACAAAAATACTTTGCAAACTGAAATATTCGAAAGGCACAGCTAAAATGTCTTGAGTGTTCGAGACTAACATCTTCCTCTAGAACATATGGATCTAAATGGTTGGCAAATTTTAAAAGGCGCTAAAATAAAAGTTAAAAGGTGAAGGGAGTTGGGTTTTTGCTCAGCAATAGAGTGTTTTCCTAGCAAACGCAAGGCCCTAGATTTGGTCCTCATGCCCCCAAAAAGAAAATAAAATATGTTTGGGTGACTTAGTCACTGTTCTATTACTGCAAAGAGACACTATGACCAAAGCAACATGGGAATGAAAGGGGGTTGGGGACTTATGCTTCCACATTACAGTTCATTAAAGGAAATCAGGACAGGAACTCAAGCAGAACAGGAACCCAAAGACAGGAGCTGATGCAGAGGCTATGGAAGAGTACTGCTTGCTGGCTTGTTCCTCTTGGCTTGCTCAGCCTGCTTTCTTACAGAACCCATAACTATCAGCCCAGAGATGGCACCACCCAGTAATGGGCTGGACCCTCCCACGTCAATCACTAATTAAGAAAATGCCCTACAGTCTTGCCTACAGCCCAATCTTATGGAGGCATTTTCTCAACTGAGGCTCCCTTCTCTCTGAGGATTCTAGCTGTGTCAAGTTGATACAACAAAACAACACCAAAACCCTAGCCAGTACATACTTTAAATACATAGACACTGGAGTACGTTGAAAACTTAATCAGAACAAATAATGAATAAATTTTTATTTGGTCTGTCAATGAGAAGGACATTAAAAGTAATAAAAGACATAATGCTAAGTGTGAAATTTTACCTGAAATTCAGCATGACCCTGGGATCCTGATTTAAAAAAAAGAAAAGCAATGTAAAAATCCACAGAGATATGTTCCTTGTCATGTGATGCTATGTCAATCGACCCAGATACTTTAGAGCTGAACCTACTACTGTGTGATGCTCTTCTTAAGATCAATTTTAATTCATAAAGAAGGATCAGACCTCAACTTTCTATCTATGAAACTCTTGAGGAACGAGCATTTGGGATGAGCGGGCACAGATAGGTGATGGAACTGAATGAAGGAAGGTTGTTCCGGTTTCCAGCAACCACATATGAGCACAGCAGGCTGGACCATCGACAGCATCAAGCACACGTCTGTGGCAGAAAGGAAACCTCCCCAGAGTTCATTTTATCAACGTATAACTCCAGCCTAGATACCTTCCCAAAGTTATTTGACCTCCACAGACTCCGTTTGTTTTCCCGTGGGCGTGGCCTTTGAACAGGAATTAGTCCACACATCACTTACTGAGGATGCAAAAAAATCACTGCTTGGAGAATCAACACTGGGTGTGCCAATTAAGGTAGCAGGTATATACTCATTGTCCACTCAGTTGTCAGCCAGGGCCAGGAGGAATTATGGGAGTGGGTGATGATGAACATAAAGTTACAGTTGCTCAGCATGAAAACACCTAAGATGCCTATACACCAACTCTCATCCAGTGACCAAAGACCACGTTCTGTAAGTCTGTGGCAAGTGGAGCCTTTGCCATTTGACTCCATGGGCCAACAAAGAGATGGAAGCCAATGTTGTTGGGCCTGTTGTTAGGCCTGGGTTTTAATATGACAAAAGCAAGGTGAGCCCTGTGGGAACAATAGCACATACCACTCTTGAATGGTCAAGGCAGGAACTTTCAAATCAGTGCCTCAGGTCTGAGAGTCAGCAGACAGGCCACCTTTAAAACCACCGCGGGCTCTGCTGGCTTTGATGTGAGACTCTGGTGGTAGCTGACTCATCTATTATCCCCTCCCTGCCCCCCCCACCCCAGCTCATATCAGTCTCCACATAGGAACACACAATGCATTCCTAGAATCAAAACCAGGAGCCATTCCCTGTCCCTGGAAGCCACCGTAGAAGCAAGCTCTGACAGTCAAAGATTCACCCCTTGCTATTTCCCAAGAACAGGAGAAAAATAAACCACAATGTTGGACTCTGCCAAGATACTTGCAGTCATCCTGAGTAGACTGAAACAATTTTCAGAGAAGGAACCAAAAAAGCTCAGGCCAACCGAACTGGGAACATCACTCAAAGTAGCTCTAAAATAAATTAATATATCTGAAGCCTGTAATGGCTTTCTGATGACTGTCTAGAGATTTAAAGAGAAAACTTCCCAGCTAATGTCAATCAGCTGTGGACAGACTCAGCACAGTCTGCTCTCTTTCCACAGCCAGTCCATGACAGATGCCTTTGTCAGACTGTCAGCTACTGCCATCCGCAGACACAGCCTCCAGCTACCCTTCGAATACCTGTGTCTGTAGTGACAATAGCTCTTCAGCACTACCGCAGTCATGGTGAGACCACATTCAGCTCAGCTAAGGGAGTAAGAGTTTCCATCCAGGCTTGGGATTTCTGAGAAAACATTTCATTTCAAGGACTATGAGAGTTTGAAATTCTCGAAAGAAAATATACTTCTAATGCCTTTGTCTTTAGCAGGACTGCTTCTGCCATATTTCAAATGTCTGGGCTCAAGGACATTATTTGTTCTACAGATACTAATAGGTAAAAATCAGTTTATTCTTACTTTAGTTATTTAAGCACACTTGGTTTGCATTCATCTTAGCTGTTTTTAGAGTTACATGCTTTTGTAGTGTATTTACATCATTTCCACGCTTCCTTCTTTCCCCAACTACTTCTCAAATTCATGACCTCTTTTTCTTTGTTATCTTTGTGTGTGTGTGTGTGTGTGTGTGTGTGTGTGTGTGTGTACAACCTTCTAAATGCATTCAGTGTTCCTCATACAGTAGATATGACTAGGGGTGACCACTTGGGATTGGATAACCTGTCAGAGGGCCAAGCATAAGGGTCAACTGCTAAAGCCATGTTTGAATAAAACAGATACACACAAACTGTAGCCAATAGAGCACTCTCTGTTACTCTCCCATTTTCTGTGGCCTCCAGCAGAGAGGAGAAGGACTGCTTTTCCCTTTCTGAGGAGTCCCTAACTACCTGTAGCACTTCATCTAGGGGTGAGAGTCTTGTGAGATTGTTTTCCCCCTCATTTTGATGGGATGACAACTGTTGTCACTGTGCAAGTCTTGTTTAGGCAAACACACTGTTAAGATTTCCTGGGTTAAGTACACTTCTTAACTTATATATTTTAATCGCTTCTTTCTTATTTTTTTAATTATTTCTTTCAGATTTATATATTTTTATTTTCATTTGTATGAATGCTTTGCTTGAATATATCTAAGTGCACTTTATGTGTTTCTAGTGCCTTCTGAGACAGAAAAGGGCACACTATCCCCCTAGCCTGGAGTTACTGATAATAGTAAGTTGCCATGTAAGTGCTGGGAACCAAACCTGGGTCCTTCGTAGAGCAGCCAGAGCTCTTAACTGCTGAGCCTTCTCTCCAGCCCCTTTCAGACTTCTGTTAACAAATATTTATTGTCTAAATTGGAGGTGCTAGCCATGTGCTAGATTTTAGATGCCATCACAAGAAAAAGTAGCAACTATTCTAATCTTAGTACTTGCTCTTAAGTCAGTAGTTCTCAACCTTCCTAACGCTGCAACCCTTTAATATAGTTTCTCCTGTTGTGGTGATCCTCAACCATAAAATCATTTTATTGCTATTCATAACTGTAATTTTGCTACTGTTATGAACTATAAATATCTGGGTTTTCTGAGGGTCTTAGGTGGCCCCTGTGGAAGGGGTGACTCCTGTGGAAGGAGTGACTCCTAAAGGGGTCACGACCCACAGGTTTAGAACCACTGTCATAAGTGATACTCTTTGTGATCCTAGTTAGTTGGGCAGCTGCTTGGACCCAAAGCCTTTCAGAGCTTTCTACTCACCACAGAAGTAGATTATATTTACAACCAGAGAAATGGAAGAGGCCAGCAGGAAATTTAGGAAAGAGGCGGCCTGATTGGTTATTGTCTGTGCATATCTACTTTAGTCAAACATGGCTTGAAACATTGGCCCTTGTGATTACTGACTCTCAGTTCCTTGGTTTCACTTCACTTGTATATTGAATTAGTTTTCAGGTCACTGTGTACTGAAAAACCTTTGGACCATTGTGTGTTGAGAGAGCTTATACACAAACTGAGAGTACAGCAGTGAACTGAGGTCATCTCTCCCGCCCTGTTACAAGTACCCAATGAAGAAAGCCACAAAGAATGCCTCTACCCGTGGGTTCTTGGTTTTATTACCATGTGCCCTTCAGTGGCTACCCACTGTCTGCATGTCCTTCACACAGCCTGGGAACCCTGCCAGTCTTCCTCTGAATAGCTACCAACACCTTTCCTTCTTTGTTTCTTTCTTTCTAAAGAATTTATTTGCACTAATGGTTTCAGAGGGATAAGAGTCTGTCGTGGCAGGGAGGCATTATGGCAAGCAAGAGCCCTCGAACTGGAGCAAAATGGTGAGCACACAACTTTTGTGCAAGCACTAAGCAGAGACAACATCTTAAGTAACTTTTAAGTAAATAATCTGTGGGGAGAAAAGATTAATACAACGATATCCTAATTTGCTTTTTTCATGTAATCCTGCAAATACATCAAAAAGAGCATCCTGGACATATTTTCTATACCCTTAGAACTAGATTCTTCTCCTTCTATTATCCATAGAATTGGTTTCCTCAGAGCTCTAGAAATACCTGGGAATCCCCACTGGGACCTTCTTATGTTCTCTTTGTCATTGTTGATTGTCCCTGTTCCCCTAGCTTGTCTTCCACTCAGTGTTCAGTCCTCTCCTGGACTTTCTTATTTCATCAAGCTATTTCTGTTTCCGCACTCTGCGATTACAGGCAGGCTGTCATTCCCACTTAACATTTACACAAGTTCTGTGAATCCACATGCTGGTCTTCAGGCTTGCATAACAAGAGTTTCACACACTGAGCCATCGTCTCATGCCCAAATCAGGGTTTTTAAAGGGCTACAGTGAGGAAAATGAGGGGTGCTTGCTTCAGCAGCACATATCCTGAAGTTGTAAGGATGCAGAGGAGGTTAACATGGTCCCACTCCAAGAATGATACAAAATTTCCTGGAGCATTCCATGGTTTCCAAAATCCCATGACTGGAAAAACTCTAGGGCTGAGAAGAAAGCCTGTTGTTCTTTTGTTAAATGGACAAGTTGTCAAACTGCCTGCTAAATATTTATGCTATTACCCATAGATCTGTACTGCCCTTGCTCAGTCAGAGTAGCTTCTGTTTGCAACAGGTCAATGCAGAGACTCATGGTTGGTAGTGAGAATACGTGGCCATGAGTATTCCTCATCCCTGAATGGGATATCTATGTCAACTCCTTCCCGCAAGGCTCCGGATGTGCAGTGGAAGAAGGGTTGGAAGAATCTAAGAACGGGAGGATGAGGAGAAGTAGCATGTAGTGCTGCCTTCTGGAAATGGCATGGGCAGCCCATAACTCAGTAGCTGTGGTTATCAACAAGGTGAAGCCACTCTAAATACCAGCATGGGTGGGGGAGAGATTTGTGAGATCCTGATCTCATACTGGGGTGCTACTGGCATGATGGCTGTTGGAAGAGAGACAGGTCTGTGGGGGTTGCAGCTACTGATACTTTGCCCATGCTCCACTGGATGGCTTCATATCCATGTCCATGTGTGCATCACTAATTAGACTCAGCAGGATTTTTTTAAAAAGAAGACATAAAGTTGGGAAAGTACATGTTGGGAAGTCAAGGAAGAGTTGGGCTGGGGAGATGGATACAGTCAAAATGTTTTCTACACATGTATAAAACTCTCAAAGAACAAATTTAAAAATTTTACTTTTACAAAGGAAAGAAAAATAAACTATACAATTAAAAGGTTTGTAAATGTCTCATCAGAGAACATGGCTCAGTATCTTGTAGTCAATACAGACTAAGACAAGAGTGAGCACCACTGGAGACTTAGTTTTCTTGTTGCTGGGACAAAATACCTGATGGAAGATTTAGGCAGTTTCTTCTAGCTCACATGTTCATGGTAGAGAAGGCACTGATCACTCTGGAGAGGACACTCCCTGTTAATAGGGAGGACTGCTCCTGTTCTTGGGGAGGACACCCCCTATTCATGGGGATGACAGCTCCTGTTCTTGGGGAGGACACACCTGTTCATAGGGAGAATAACTCCTGTTCTTGGGGAGGACACACCTGTTCATAGGGAGAACAGCTCCTGTTCTTGGGGAGGACACCCCCTGTTCATGGGGAGGACACCCTCGTTCATGGGGAGGACACCCTCGTTCATGGGGAGGACAGCTCCTGTTTTTGGGGAGGACACACCTGTTCATAGGGAGGATAACTCCTGTTCTTGGGGAGGACACAACTGTTCATAGGGAGAACAGCTCCTGTTCTTGGGGAGGACACCCCCTGTTCATGGGGAGGACACCCTCATTCATGGGGAGGACAGCTCCTGTTTATGGATGGGGGGATGGCTCCTGTTCCTGGGGATAAGCTTGTTCACATCTCAGTGGCAAATGAGAACACAGAGTCTGGGCTAGAACCTCAACCATACTTAACCCATAAGATCCAGCCCAGTAACTCATTTTGTCCAATGAGGCCCCCTTTCTAAAGGCTCCAGAACTTACCAAACAGTACCATCACAAAGTGGAGCATAACTCACGCTCCCATCATATGAATGACATTCTGGAATTTAAATTATAGTGATGTTCTGATGTTATAGGTTATAGGGAGAAGGAAAGGGAAGCTGAATGAGCCTTATTTATTTATTTTTTAATTTATCTATCTATCTATCTATCTATTTGCTTTTCATTACACTGAACACTTAGACATGCTGCAAAGGCTTGTTGTTGCTTTTTTTTTTTCAACTTACATTTATATTAAAATGCAAAGGCTTCTTCGGGTTCCCACTATTAGACGCATCAGGCATCTTCGCCCTGACTTCTTTTACTTGCTTAGAAGTTTACAAAAAGAGAGCTTGTGGTCTCTCATGACAAGCTGGACTTGACAGGGTAATGGACCACACTGAGAAGAGAGGTTAAGAACCTTCAACTTAAAGCCACTTCCAGGCAGTTTTTAAAGACCACTACACATACATTTAGTCCTAGATTTAAAAAAAAAAATCATGATTATTTGACAGGAAAATGCGGTCACACTGATGGAAAAGTATTAGCTCGAGATCTCAGCATGCTGAAGGGGAGGCAATGTGGAGGGTAAGACAGTCTAGAGAAAAAGGCATCTGTAAATCTATTATCAGTTTCCACTGGCTGTTTTACGGAGAGCAATTGGAGACTTGTGACCGATGCTGAGTTCGGCTTCCTGCCCAGTGCATGTGGGCTGGAACCATTAATCAGTCAGTTAAAAGCTGAACGTGGTTTTATTTTATATTTCAAATTGAACTTTCCAGATGGCAGTGAATTTGGGAGCCTGAGAGCCTTCCTGACTTTCTATGCATTTTATTTTTCTGTTTTGAAGCCTTGGTGAATTCCCTGGATCGGGATCCCAAGATCCCGGGGTGTCTTTTATAAGTCCTCAGAGTTTGCACAGGGAGTGGGCTGTATCCTGCCTCTTCAACTGGTCTTGTGGTTTGCTGCGTTGACAGAGTACTACAGATGCTACACTTAATTAACTGACCAATTTGTTTCACGGTCTTTTTACGACACTCCCTTGAGAAAAATCACATTGATGGAAATGGCGCTGGTGGGTGCTGACATGTACTCTGCTCGTTACTAAGGAAGATGCCATGAAGTGCATTTAAGCTACTTCCTTGTCAATGGGGGTTTTATATTTATAATATAGAATTTTTAAACAGGAAGGAATCTAAATGATTATCTAGCCAAAGCTATCATAAGGGTAGCAATGATTTGTTTTCTCTCTCTCTCTCTCTCTCTCTCTCTCTCTCTCTCTCTCTCTCTCTCTGTGTGTGTGTGTGTGTGTGTGTGTGTCCATTATAAGTTCATCCAAAAGACTGACTTTGCCCCTCAGAGGGACTTACAATAAGAAATAGAGCAGTTGTACAAATTGGTCAACCATCATGGCCATCATGGCCTCTAAAAGCACAAGATAAAGGAGACAATATCTCAACCCTACCATCTCACTGAGCTAAGTGCTCTGAGCTTCAGTGTTGGCTGATTGCTCCCCTCCTCTGTGAGGAATAACCTCACTGTGCTTCTCTGTGATAATGAGCCCACATCTACCACTGACTCTCTTTTCAGCAGTTTAATCATTTGAATATATGCAAAATTGTGGAAACATCAGCAGCTCACAAGCTTCAATATTTAGTATGTCTAGTGTTAGAAACTTCATTCACTTTTCTTCCTTAAACAACTTCACTGATGCCCAATAACTTCAGTGTCTGACTGATAAGTTTAGGTAAATGAGATTTACAATGTGACTACAACCACATTCAAGATCCAGATCCACTGGGTCCATCCAGTGGATGTTCCTCATAGCTCTGCTATTGTCCCTCTTCCCATTGGACCATTCCTACTGCCACACCAATTGTATTCATAAGTCTACTGAAGGAAAATCCCAGTGTCTAGAGTTGGCTCCCTTCCTATGAGATGTAGGCCAGGGAGATGCTGGGGCCAACAAGATGGGTATTTGTCCTTACTGTTCATTGCATCCCAGAACTAGACGGTTGAGATCCTATAGCTGGTAGTTCATACATGTTGGTTATATGACATGAAGAAGTAAAGTTGAAATTCTGTTGGAGGCAATCCTCTTGTTGGTGAGCATTTATAGTGCCAGAAGGTTCTATGTGGACTGATGGTAAGGAATTGTTACCAGTATCTTTGATTACAAACACAGCATGCTAACCCTATCAGTCTGCCAAGCAAGATGTGCCTGTCAGTACAATAGTGGTCCTAATGTTTCAGGCACTATTAACAATTTTCCAGTTGCACTTAAGGCCTGGTTCACAGGACAGGACCTTTGTAGAGATACTGTCCAGATGTGGTGATGCACACCTTTGATCCCAGCACTCTAGAGGCAGAAGAAGGAAGATCTTTCTGAGTTTGAAGTGACCCTGGTTTACAAAGAAGAAACATTATAAGAAAAGGATAGACATTGTAAGGTAAGTCTTTAACTGGGGTGATCATGGGCCTTAGTGGGAAAGCCACTGCTGTTGGTTTGTCAAATAGATATTATATGCCTGTTAAATTCTCATCTAAACATTTTTGTTTGTGCCCATATATTATTACTTCTGACAGGTTCAGTTTTGGAGAAAAAAAACAAAACATTGTTTTACATGGATGGTGGTTTCTGCAGAGACTCATAGCCAATGAAGCTACTAAGAATAAAGTGACTATTTCTGTGACATCGTTAGATAAATGAATGTTAAAAGATAGATTGTCATTATCTAGCATGATTTCTTTCAAACCTAGCGATTGATGCATTCTAGGCAAATCCTCTATCACTGAGTTACATCCCCAGTCCTTTCTTTGTTTTGTTTATTTTGTTTTTCTTTAAATTTTGATATAGGGTCTCAGTAGGGTATCCATTGTAGCCATGACCTCCCTTTATCACCCAGGGAACACTTAAACCCTCCTGCCTCAGCTTCACAAGCAGCTGGGATCAGGGGCTTGTATTACCAAGCCTCTTGATAATCTAGCACAGTGTGTGAGGATAAGAAGCACAGCAGCAACTTAGACTTTGGGGTCTCCCGGTGGAGTGACAGTAAAGCTGTGTATTATGGTTGTGATTGTCTGTTGATACTGTTATGATGCCTGGTAAGTCTGCTTCCAATATTGTTATCAAGGCTCCCCTATAAATCAACCACAATGCATGGTGGCTAACACAAGAAAGAGTGATGATGTGATGTTTATTGGGCACATATGCCACTCCTAATATGAGGCAGAAAGAGTACAAATGTCGATTTGATACCTTTTGGGCCATCCTAGCTACACAACATTCCACAAGATCTGTCCATTGAGTGAACAGAGCCTTTCTCTGCCATCATCCAGCCAACTGTAGAACAGAACAGCACAGCCATCTTCAGATGGCCCTCTCCCATGCTAGACTTACTGCCTACTAGTGATCCTCAATATTAACTTTATGAGAATACCAATCTCATGGTGTAGTTAGTCAACTCTTTAAGATTTGTTTTGGAAT